GAAGTAGATTGCCCCATCTTCCTTCCGAGGAGTGGCTGGTGGGTTTGAACCGCCAAACTTCTGGTTAGCAGTCAAGTGTCTAGCCACTATGCTACCAGAGCTCCTACCACATTTAATAGGCACTCAATATTCGCTGAATGAATGAATTTTCACAAAGGCCTTGTTCCATCCTGCTACCCTCATTTAGAAGATTGGACACTATTATTCCTGCTCAATTCAGTAAGAGGAACAACCAGAAATGAAATTGGGGTAGGGTGGGAGGGTTCTTTGTATCAAACGTCTTTTGGTTGATTTGAAAACACACTTCTTACCTCCTCAATTTTTTGCTTTTCCTGTATTTTAAGCTGCTCCAGAATAAACTTTAAATGAGTCTGAAAAACAAATTGTATAAGTGATAAATAATGAGTCTTTTAAAAAAGGGAACCAAGGCAGACAGAATATATCAAATAATTTGCTAAGTAGGAAAACTGTCAGTCATAACAAAAAAAGTACTTTTTTTTTAAAAGGATCTAGAGTACAAAAACTATACCCCCTATCTATGGCTCCATCGTATTTGATTTTATGCACCCCACAATGTGCTTTATTCTTGCCCTAAAATAAATGGTTAGAAGGCCTTTGTGTGTCCTTGTCCTAGTTTAGCACAAATCCTTCAGCTTTGGTGACCTATTAACACAGATGGGCTGGAATTTTGGTGCAAGCTCCTCCATTTCCCTTCACTTAAAACAAAACAAAACAAAAACATTGCCATCGAGTCGATTCCAACTCATAGTGAACCCACAGGACAGAGTAGAACCACTTCACAGGGTTTCCAAGGCTGTCCTCTTTAAGGAAGCAGACTACCACATCATTCTCCCATGGAGTGGCTAGCATGTTCAAACCACCAACCTTTTGATTATATCAAAGAATGTCTACATTTGTTATCTCACTTGGTTATTCTAAAAGACAACACCTTAAATAGGCATAGTTCTGTGTCAAGTTGGTCCCCCATAATGCCTACAGATCCACAGAAAATGAAATCTGGCAAGGAACTCTCCAGATGCTTCAAATATTCCCTCTTTATAAAAAGGGAAGCAAACATGGCCTAACCATACGTTTTCCTTTTGTCGAGGCTTTTAAACACGTATTAATAAAAAACAAAGTTATTTACTCTTGTTCAAGCATGCATTATAAAATTTAAAAGTGAATTTAGCTAATTCTCTTTCACTGTAATTGAATACATTTTGGTACAAACAACAGGGTTCAATATGTTCTGTGAGTTACTGTGGTCCTTGCCGAGTTACTTAACCTCCTTGAGTTTCAATTTCTTACCTATAAAATATAAGTAGTATGCTTCAGGGATGTGAGAATGAAATAATACCTGTAAAATACTTAGCTCTTTATGTATCAATCACATAGTAAATGCTCAATAAATATTGGCCATTATTATCTTAACTCACCTGGTGCCTTCTTAACAATGCTTATGTAAGATGATAGAAACTACTCAGGTAAAACGAAACAAAGTTAACTTTTATTAGGGGTCTCTAAGAGGTTGTTTAGGAGCTCTGGTGGCACAGTGCCTAAGGCATTTGACGGCTAACAAAAAAGTTGTTCAAACCCACCAGCTAACTCTTGGGAAGGAAGATTGAGCAATCTACTTACATAGTGATACTGCCTTGGAAACCCAAGAAGGGGTCACTATGAGTTGAATCGACTTGACAGCAGTGAGTGAAGAGGTTGTTTAGGTTCATGAATTAACAAGATGCTGAATATAAATGACATGAGTGGAAACAAAAGATTTTGAAAGTAAGGTATCAGAATTTTTTTTATATCAGCCAACAAGAACTTACCTTGAGTGTCAAGTTTTTCACTTTATTGATAAGTTCCTCTTGTCTTTTTGCTTTGCTCTGAATCTCTTTGAGCTTCTTCTCCATGTAATAAATCTGCTTCTGAATTTCCATGACTAACAGAGATAGAAACTTTATGTATCTAAATATGGCCTAAAACGGACCTAGACCCAAATCAACTGAAAATCTACCACACAGCTAAGCAATAACTTCTCAAGCTTAACCCTGCATCTAATGCGTGTTTAACATTAACCTTTAGCACTGCCACCCACCCTGTCTCACCTCTTTATTTTCCCTCTGACTTACCTATTGGAACAGTTCCTTCCTTTATTTTGTACTGGCCTAATTCAGTGAACCTGGCTTGTAGCTCCCTTTCCAGATACTCTTCATCTTCTTCTTCATCCTTGTCTTCCTCCTTGTCATCTTCATCCTCATCCTTATCGTCCTCCTCTTCCTCCTCCTCCTCTTCCTCACTTTTACTGCTAGAATCAGTAGACGTCTCCCGAAAAACATCATATTCTATTGGGTTTAAAAAAGAGGAAGGTGACACTATCTGAAGCTTTTGAAATGTTTCCCATTCCAGCCGTAAGTATATTCCTTACCCTCAAATTCACTTGACAGCCAGTTAATTTTATAAATCATTTTTCTTGCAGGAAGATTATTCTCTTCACAAAACAAGAGCGGAGAATACGAAACACTGGTATTCTTTGCATGTATTTAATGATAAGGACATTCAGAGAATCCAAGGGTCCAGAGGAGCTTAGAATAGTAGGGTTGGGTGTGAGATTAGAATACCAATCTAAAATCCCTCAAATACCAAGGGAAGAAAAACAAAGACATTTTTCTGTGACTGGCTGTGAGTCCATGAAGAATGATCATACACATAGTCAGTATATGCCCTCTCTGAAGATCCTGCCTTTCCTTTACAACATACCTAGTGAGAGATGATCCTCCTTGTCGCCAGACATTTCTGAGGAAAACTCAAATCCTGAAATGGAGCCTTGGCTTTCTATTTCCTTGGTTTCATCTTCAATGATGACTTCCCATCCTTAAATGGGATAGGGGTAATTAAAGAAAAAGCAAAAGGAAAGGAGGAGGCACATTTGGAAGGGAAGAGGCAATTTAGACCAAGTTGAGGCCATTTGTATCTGGATTCTTGGTTTAGAGAAGTACCTTATATTAAATTATACAACTACATAATTTTTCAGCATATGAATATATGATTACTAGCTAGCAAGTAACATTTTCAAAAATCTAACTTATACACATTAAAATGGCACATAAATATCAGGAGTAAGGGCTTCTGAGGAAGTTCATATGGACTGGAACAGAGTATGTGCAGAAAATGTTTAGTATAAAAGGATACGAGCACTGATAGCTTCAGCATCTGAACACAACAGTCTCTTCACTTCCCTTTCCACATCTGAAGATTCCATGCCCTAAATCAAAATTGGGGGAAATACCAGTAATATCAGTTAACAGTCTGCATTTTGCAAAAGTGCTCCTTTTCCTACATACAAATGAATTCAAACTATTAGGCCTGTTTAGATATCCATCCAACCAAATTTCTATTTTAATTAGAGCTATTTATGAAGGAATCTTTGATCAGGGTCTGCATTTTTACACATTAAGCTTATTTTTTTCCCAATGAAACAAATTGCTTGAAAACATTTAATCTTCTTAATCTGCAACTCTACGATACAGACTCTTCTCAGAAGCAAACCTTAAATCTCAATTATTATTAATTACTTGCCCTGACTCATACATAATACTTATTAGCTTTTAGAAGTGATTTGGTTTAAAGAACCAAATTCACAGATTTCACTTCCCTGCATCTACAAAAACTGAGTCTTAGCTTCATGTTCTTCCTTGAATCCAATTATGACAATTATCTCCACAGCAACCAATTCATCATGGCATGAACAGAATTTAAGACTTTAAGGAAGAATAAATAATAGCAAATAACTGCTGGTAAAAGTTAACCCTAGCTTCTAAAAAATGGCTTTCTAAATAAATATCATTAAAAAGAATACACTGGGTCAGTGACCAAATGGTATCTTTTCCCCTAGGAGTTATCAGACATTAAACAGCAAAGTCATTTTTCAATGAACCAAATTCTATGTGTTGAATATGGGAGGAGATGAGAGGTGAGGAAGAAAGTTTGAAAATAATCTTTGTGATTTTTTTGAAACCAATGAATTATGAAATAAAACACACGGAGGGTAAACAATAAAGTAATATTATACTTGTTCTACCTCATTGAAGTCAATTTCTTCAATTTGCTGGATATCAATGTACTATGAAATAAAACACAATAAACAATGACGTTATATTATCTACTCAGTAAAGCTTAAAGAGTTCTACAACTACCCTTAACTTAGTTTTACATTTAATAGGCACTCAATAAATGCTGTAGACTGACAATATAAAAGCCAAGGCAACCATATTAATGGACTGGAAGACTCAACAGTAACAATCTCAATTCTCCCGCAAAATAATCTATACATTTAATACAATTTCGATAAAAATTCTAGCAAGACATAGACAAGTTTGTTTCAAAGTCTATATGGAAAAACATAGACCCTAGAACAACTAAAACAATCTTCAGAAAAATAAAGTGAGAGAAAACATTCTACCCAATTTCAAGACTTAAAGATACTGGTGGCATAGTGCCTAAGGCATTTGACTGCTAACTAGAAGGCTGGCGGTTCAAACCCACCAGCCACTCCTCAGAAGGACGACTGGGCTATCTACTTCCATAGAGATACTACTCAGAAACCCAAGGGGGGGTCGCTATGAGTCAAATTGACTTGACGGCAGTGAGTTTCGTTTGGTTAGATACAGTGTGGTATTGGTGGAAGGCCTGACATACTGACCAATGCAACAGAATACAGAACCCCAAAATAGGCCCACACAAGTAGGTCTAATTGATTTTTGACAAATTGCAAGAACATTGCAATGGAAGAAGGATAGCCTTTTCAAAGAATTGTGCTGGCTCAACTGGACATGCATAAGCAAAAAAAAAAAAAAAAAAAGAACCTAACATCTTATATAAAAATTAACTCAAAATGTGTCATAGACTTAACATGTAAAACATAAAAATTTAGAAAAAAAATTTCAGAGCATAAAATCTCAGGATCTAAAGGTTAGGCAAAGAATTCTTAGACTTGATACCAAAAGCAATGTCATTAAAAGTAAAAATATCAGTAAATTGGAACTTACCAAAAATTTAATTTGCTCTTTCCCATGAAGAGGACAGAAAGACAGGATACAGATTGCGAGAAAATATTTGCAAACCACATATCTAACCAAACACTAGTATCTACAAATATAAGAAACTACTCATAGAAAACCAAATAAATCATTTAGAAAATGGACAAAAAACATAAACAGAAATTTCACTAGCAAACAAGCAAATGCAAAGATATTCGACATCATTAGCCAATAGGGAAATGCAAATTAAAACCACAATGAGATCACTGTACACCTATCACCACCACCACCACCCACTCCCGTCAAGTCAGATCCAACTCATAGCCACCCCTCCTTGGGTTTCCAAGGTGGTATCACTATGGAAGTAGATTGCCTAACCTTCCTTCTGAGAAGTGGCTGATGGGTTTGAACTGCCAGCCTTCTGGTTAGTAGTCAAGTGCCGTAGGCACTACGCCACCAGAGCTCCTATACACCTATCAGTATGGGTAAAATGAAAAATAGTGACACTACCAAATGCTGGCGAGGATGCAGAACAACTGGATCAGTCACACATTGCTGGGGGGAATGTAAAATGGTAGAGTCACCCTGGAAAACAGTTTGACAATTTCTTATAAAACTGAACATGCAACTGCCATACAATTAAGCTATTACACTCTGGGTATTTATTCCAGAGAAATGAAAACTTATGTTCACACAAAAAACTGTGTTTGAACCTGGTCATGGAAGCTTTTCTTGCATAGTAAAAAAAAAAAAAAAAAAACTGGAAACAATACAGATGTCCTACAATGTATGAATGGTAAAACATACTATGGTACATTCATACCATGGAATACTATTCAGCAATTAAAAGGAATGAATTATTGATACATGCATACTCTTGTGTGGATTTATGATAAGTTTTTTTAAAAAGCTAATACCAAAAGGTTACATATTGTAAATTCACTTACATAATGTTCTTGAAACGGCAAAATTATAGAAGAACATATCGGTGATTGCCTGGGGTTAAGAAACTGGGAGTAGGAGGTAGACAGGAAGTGGGTATAGTTATAAAAAGGCAACATGAGGGATCCTTATGGTGATGAAACTGTTTAGTATATTGACTGTGGTGGTGAATACAGGATAAAAGTGCATAGAACTAAATACACACACAAGAAAAAAAAATAGTGAGTTGTATCAATTCAATTTCCTGGTTGTGATATTGTACTACGATTTTGAACATTACCATTGGGAAACTGGGTAAAGGGTACACAGGATGTCTCTATTATTTCTTATAACTGCATGTAAATCTACAATGATCTCGAAATAAAAAAATTTTAAAATGCCAAACCACAGTAACCCTGTAGCTTGCCCAAGTCCTACAAGACTGAAGCAAGGTAAGGAATTCTTTTAAAAATTCCTTTGAGAATTTCCACAATTCTCAGTTCTCCAGTTCTGGATAGGTTTGACTGAAAACTAGATCCTGTGATTGAAAACTAAAAGCATTAGCAGACATTTCAAATTAATGAAACTTCTGGCTCACTTTCTAAATGACTAGCCTCAATCTCAAGGATCAGGTCTATTTTGGTTTAGTAGCTATATTCCCCAATGCTAGTACATGGTGCCTGACATTTAGTTCATTTTCAATAACTGCTCATTGAACATATGAATGAATGAACAAATTAATCCCCACTTGACTTACGCCCTTTTCCATTCCACTCATAATCTTCTTCTAACACACCCAGCAGATACACAAATACCATGCAACTAACCTTTTTTGTTTTCCGGAACCTTTTCTTTCTGACATTCTTAAGTGGTGGAGTAACTAAAACAAATACAACATGGTGAAATGTATATTTGACTGATGGTAATCACGTATCTATCTGAATTCGATAAAGAAAACATTCATGCAATAAGCCACTAACTCAAGACATGATACCTGTAAGGGTCTGGGAGTCTAATGAACCAAACGTCTAAGTGTGGTTACAGGTCCCTGGTTCCCAAGTATTCAGGATTCAGCAGATAACTTTAGTCAGCCAGATTGGCCACGGGGTTAGTGACTTACTGCCATGTTTCCAGGAATATTTCTTCTTCCCTCTGTAATTTTTCCTGATTACTTTAAAATCGGTGTAAGTAACTGGTTCTTTTGGAGGAAAGCGAACATCCCTTGCAGTGCACACGAGCATCTACATTTAACAAAGACAAAAAAAAAAAAAAAAAAAAGCTGACCATGGACCCAAATTTTATGTTAGTAATGAATCATGTTCATTCCTACCACCAGAAATCCTAGAGCATAGTAGTGAAAAGAATGATACTTAGCATTCCCAGGAAACCAAGTATTATATACACACATTTCCCTCTCCCCTCTACCTTCTCTCTCCTTCATTCCCCCTCTTTTGGTGAGCTACTA